GCGCTTTATTGTTTCGAGGTGTATTCAGAGGTATTAGCTCGTTAGCGGCTCGCAGCCCCCCAGAAGGGGAGGCAGGGAGTGAACGATTGTCCTCATTTTACTAACAAGGAAACTGAGACTGAGCTTAGGTAGCTGACCTGCCGTATCAGGTGGTAACTGACCTGGTCACCAGCAGAGCTGAGTCCCGACCCCAGTCGTCTGGCCACAAAACCCTCACCCCCAGGCCTGCCCAGAAGTCTTAGGTCTGCAGGAAGTAGCTTCATTTCAGACCAAGAAGCTGAGAAGTTTCCCCATCAGCAAACAAAGCCGAGACCTTTGAGTTCTCTCCTCTGGCCAAAGGTCAAGTCTTTGTCCCTTGTGCTCCGTTGTTCCAGGAGTCTGTTTCTTTTTATCCCTTCCCCTGCAAAGTCACAGCCCTGGTTACAGGACTCTGCATGTCTTCTTAAACCCCATCCTTAATGGAACTATGCCATGAGATAAGAAAGCCATAAGGGTAACAGGGTGATTGCCTGAAATTCTGATTCCTCTCCCCAGCGATATGTGCTGCCCATGGAATCCCCCGTCAGGGCCCTTGTGACCGTTCATCTCCCGGAGCAGACTTCCAGAGCGCACAGCTCTGTGCCCTGGGCTCTGGCCCTGTCCTCAGCCACCTTTCCTGGGCCATTTACCGCATATTGCCCAGCAGAAAGTCTAACCAACCCGTCCCAACAAAAGCCCTAGATATTTATGTTAGAAAGAGGCTCCCTTGGGTCCTTCTGGTTTGATTTGCGGATTTCTCTCTGTGACTTTGCATCCCTCCGTGCCTCCATGACTCATAACCCATTTCCCCTCCCAGACTGAAGCACTGAGATCTCTATTAATGCAGCCAGCCTGGGAGAAGGGGCTGTGAACAACTCTGCCATGGCTGTAGCGGCAGTTTTCCCTGATTGACTTCAACTCACTCTGTAGTGCCAGAGGCCTCGGGCTGGAAGGAGAAAGTGCATATCAAAAGATAAGCTTCTGAAAAATCAATTAACAAGAAGGAGAAGAAGAGGGTGGGGAAAACATGTATGTGTGTTCTTACATCCTCTAAGGAAAATATCAGGCTAAACAAATTGGAAGCTTAGAGAAAATTTATCTTACTTAGAACTACGATCCTGGGCATTTGCTTTGAAATTCGTAGCAACCGAGTTTCTCTCATGAGCCCTTTAACCCAAAACTCTGCTAATTTGATGATGACTTAGCTTCAGGAAGCAGTACCACCAGCTCAGTCTGACACACTCCGTTAGGGTCCCACGACCCTTGGACTTTCAGCAATTCTACGTGGCTTTTCTGCAGGTGTCCTTCTCTTCCTGGAGAGCCCCAGCCACCATTTCCCCAAAACACCCCCATCTCTCCTGATTCTTAATGTAACTCGTGCAATAAGCCATAGGGCAGAGGCCCAGATTCCCGTGCCCACCAAGCAAAAACAGACCAGAGAAGCCAAGCTAGTAAGTGGTTTCCATCCAGATCCCACTGCCCCCCTCTCACCACCTGCTTTTGCGTCTTGTCCCAGGGGAGCATTTCCTTGGCGTAGCCACCCTCCAATCTTGCTGAACAAGCCCATCGTTCAAAGGATCCCTTGGAGGAGCCTTTCTCCACCTGCTGGGGGGCAGAGCAAGACCAATGGGTGGAAAAGCAGAAGGGCTGGTTTCAGCTCAGATGAAGGGAAGGCCTTCTAGCCGCCCAGGCTGCCCCGCACATACCGAAGCCTAGAAGGGATTCTCCGTCACGTGGGAGGGGGCACGCCAGGTCCTCCCGACTTGGGATCCCCACGGCTGGCTGGGGCAGTGATGGCTTCGTCTCTTTGCTGCCCAGCAGTGTCCTCTGGCTCCCAGATGGCACCTAACAATTCTTTAAAAGGGCAGTGGTCCTCCAGGAGAATGGCCATCCTGCCAGGTGTAGAACTGGGTGGAAGCAAATGGGTCAATCCCGTGTCTTTAGGAGAAAAAAGCATAGAAAATAAGGGTCTTTTTTCTTTCCCAGCAAACAGTTGAGCTAGTCTTGGAATTCATTTATCTCTGGAAAGGTTATAAATGACTAGATTAGGGCTTTTATCAACTTGCCTTGGAAATCCAGTTTTTACTAATTTCCTTGTTTCTTGCATCAGTGTCTAAATGCCTCTGTTCTCAGCACAACACACATGATAAGGCCAGTGAGTGTGTCCAGTGACGCTGCTCCTGGGGAGGGAGTCTGGGGAGAGCGCCCTTCTGATGGCTTCCTCCCTCCAGATGCGCCTCTTCCTCCCTCCTCGGCCCCCATTCTCTCACCCTCTTCTCCGTGACCCCCCATCTCCTTTTCAGTCCTCTGCCGGCTCCCTTAATTGGTCACAATACAGAATTGAAATTTACATTTTAATATAGCTTTTTTTTTCTGTGTCCCGAATTGCCTCATTCCCTGCTCTGAACTTTTAAATAAGATAAATTAAAGCTGTTCTATGTTTTTCTCACAAAAAAATCAACAAAACACTAAAACAGAAATAGTTTGCTTTTTAGTAGGAAAAGGAAACAGTGGCCCTTTGCTGCCAAAGCAAAGGCCATTCGGTGCAGCTCATTCTTCCCATCCTCCCGTTGACTCACATTTCTCCCTCTAGAAACGGAACAAATACGTTAAGAAATACGGCCCCAAAAAAAGAAAGAAAGAAAAAAAAGCTTGTAAACCCGGCCACTGGGTGGAGTCAGTTCAGCTGGTTAGCAGTGTGTTTGGTACCCCTGCTGGCAAGCTGGTGCGGAACCCAGAAGCACGCGGTCTGTCCCTGCCGTGGAGTTGCTGCAAGACAGAGGCGCTCAGAACTGTCCCCTGCTGTCCCTTTGCCTTACTTCTCTGGTCCAGGGTTCTCAGAGCTTGTGTCATTTCCTTACCCTCAAAGTGCTTAGCATTCAACACTCTTTCCTTTAAAAAGGGCAGCCTTCCCGCGGGATGGAAACGGGGGACACTAGCTTCATTTCTTTCCGTCAAGCTGCGTGGCAGAGAGAGAAGCCCAGATGTTACTAGTAGCTTTCTGAACCAGTGGCTCTCTTCTTCTTTAATATAGCCGTCTTCGCGTTTCAATACCAGTTTTCTGATAGAGAAGACATACATGTAAGTGGTAAAAGGAAACACAGCTTCCCTTAAAACAGGCTGAATAATCAAACCCGAAGAAACCCCTACCGGCCGGGCAGGTGGAGGCCCACGCGTTGATCATTGCGTAGGGAACATTCTGAATGTGGCTTAATAGGAAATCAGACACCTTCCTGGTGACTGTGGTGGATGCCAGGAAGTTGGAGAGAGAACAGCTTGAGTGACAGGTCCTAGAACCACAAGGGGATGGGAGACAGGAACGAAACCTGGATCTTAGAAGTTCGCCGGGAAGCAACGTAAAGTCCCACCTTTGGATTTAAAAATGTACATACATACAGGTACAGGGGGGGGGAGGCGGAAGAGTTTCAGCTGACTAAGCTCAGTGTGAGTCAAGAAAGTAGGGTGGAACTACCCCCAAAACACCACAATAAACAACAACAAGAACACAAGACATTTAGGCTGCACGGGGAGAAGGCGCTGGTGAGCCGTGCTGGCAGTGGTCGGACACTTTAGGAAGAATATTGATAACAGGTGACGTTCAGATGAGCATGCCCGACCCTGGTGAGCGGTGGGAGGACCAGCGGAAAGGGCTCCGTGCAGGTGTCCGCCTTGGGGTGGCGCCCTGCGCGCCGTCCGAGGCCCAGGAGGGGAACGTGCAGGGAGGCAGATTTTAGCTCTTGCGGGAGA